AACATTACTAAAAAGGAGAAGGAGAGACCAAGAGGATGAAAAATCTGAGGCTGAAGGCAGAGGGCCTCCATGGGGCTTTTTTCTTGAATTTTTTGGAGATTAGTGATTTTTTAAGTCATTTTCCAGGACTCCAGAATCTATTCCCCCCTTCTCCCCAATGCCCATAGGTTTATGTCTTGCTATCTGCGGGTTTGTTATTCATAGTCATATACTGCACGGTAACCCCTTGCCAATAACAAGGGCCACCTGCATAGCACGTCGCTCATCTGTGTATTCTCCATCTGTCTTTTATGGCGGCGGTATTGCTGTTATTATTAATTAGAATTTTTAAAATGAATTATATCCCTGCTTGGGATTCTGTTTTAACAATGAAAGCATGAGATAAAAAGGTTATAACTACATGCATTAAAAATAGTGCACCTGTTCTGAGTTGATATTATAAGACAAGAGCCATTTAATTAAGTATGCACTGGAGAGCTTAGGAACCTAAGAAGCTGTCTTATACAGTTCCAGCCTGCTAGTTCAGTGGTAGCTGTGCTCACGCTACATGGTTGGCCTACCAGTTTTATGGGTTTGCACAATAGACTAAGTGATAAACCAAGCAAATGGGTCTGGATTCACACAATAAACTAAGCCACCAAGATGAAATTAGCCAAGTTTAGCATGTTGCATAAATACATCTAGTATTTGGCAGTAGATATCCAGAAACTCAGACTGGAATCTTTCCTAGCTTGACCTGAAAAAATCAAGGTTGAACATACATTTCACCACTGACCCACCACCATTATAGTAGGACTGTTGGTAAATGTAGTGGTTCTTAACAAAGTGTGTAAAGTAGGTGGGATTAGTTGGAGAAACGTGGGTGGGGAAATCCAGCAGCAGATCCCCACTCCTCCATAAAGTAGCATCTTCATGAAGCTACTGGCTCTTGCTCTGTCAACAGCAGGTACCAGGTAAAACCTGTCACCTCAGCCTTTGCTGAAAAGGGAGATCACCAAGCTAAGCAAAGATTATTTAGTTCAGCAGAGTTTGCAGGCTCTCGCTTCTTTCATCAGAATGTCACATTTGGGGCATGAACGTGACATCACAATGCCGTTGGAAAAGGGGTGAGGCTTGTGTGGCAATGCGGCAATACTTCTTTCATCAGTCTGACTTCCCTTGCTCCCCATAGATGCTGCTGATTGGGTTATTTCTTTAAACTTTAAAGAAATAATATGATTTTAAACAGCATATTCTGAAGTAGCTGCAGCACTGTACATGATGAGCTTCTATTTTTATTTCTCTAAAACTCTTCATATTTTCTGCCCTCTTGTTCTTGCTTTTTTCCTTCTCTTAGATGACGAAGATTCATTTTTGTTGCCAACCTTGGCAAAGGAGAACAGCCACAACAGCAGCTTTGAGCTTATTGGTTCCATGATTCCCTCTTATCAGCCATGTAATAAGCAAATAGGACGTGGAGGCAACTTTCTCTCCGCTATTGGAACTGCCCGCTCTCCTTCTCCAGGCTTCTTCAAAACAAGCTTCATCAGTTCAGCTTCTAAGGCAAGCCATTGTTGCTTTAGAGTCTTTTCAGAATTTAAGTTATATGTTAAATTAATCAGCAAAACAAGAGTACAAAGACATACAATGTTAAAGGATCAAGACAGCATTTAGAGTTTTAAATGGTGCTAGAAAGTTTCCAGAGTAAGTTCTGCATCTTTTAGCTGGTATTTATATCCCATCCCTCCCTCCAATACCACCCAAAAGTATCAGTGATGCGTAGGGCTGCTCTCCTCTTGTCCTCACAGCATAGATCGCCCAATGCCAGCAGGCAAACAAACAATAGTGAAATGGATCTAGATAAGCGTGCTCCAGTGTTGGGCATCATTTAGCGTTTTGAGCCCTGTCCTGAAAGATATGCTTGGAAACAACTGATGGAATAATTTTGAAGGTTCAGACTCTGTAATTCAGCCTTATAGCCATGTCTTTGAGGATGGCTGAGATCACTCCTCCAAGAAATTATTTAAAAAGTCCAAGACTGAACAGGGCAATTTCTTGATAGTAAGACCTGCATGTCTGTGAACAGGTTCCCAGAGATTCCCAGGCATGTGATTCTTCTGACCTGTGCAAATGTTGTTATTCTGTGGATCTTCTATTTGTTAATTATGTAATTGCAGTTGTCCTCTGCCACTCTTCTCCTCTCCCCTTACCTGTTTGCATCCTGATATGGGTTTTGTTTGAGGTCTGTCTCGTATTCGGTCTTTCATGAATTTCTGTTTTGTTTGGGATCGGCTCAGAGTTCAGGAAAGACATCTGAACCATCGCTACCCGTTGAGGATTCCCAGGATCTCTACAATGTTACACCTGAGGAGAAGAGCCCAGTTCCAACCAGTGGGAGGTTTCCGTTTCAGTTCTCCCTAGAAGACGACACACAGAGTCAGCTGCTGGATGCCGATGGGTATGTAGCAGGAAGAACCCAGAGTGTGGATTAAAAAATACGTGATAAAATTATATGAATAAACAGGCTTCTTGGTGTAGACTAATGCTAATATAATCTTGATGAAAGTGTGCAGGAACTGTTAAGAGAAGATTGTTCGCAGACTGGTTGTGGGAAAGAGGAAGGCATGAGAAAGAAATTCAAAATAACCCTGTGCTGATTCTGTTCAGTGTAAGAAAAGGCAGAGGGACAACCTGGCAGGTTTTCAAGATTCTGTTGTTATGCCCTACAACAGTAAAGTAGCATTCCTGAAATCCTTGCACTCTTTCCTGACCTGGCCTAGCTTGACATACGTGGAATGAAACTTATTCTGAGTCATGTTATGCTATATGGATTTCCAAGCCCAAAATACTGAGTTCATTTGTGGGTGGTTGGCTTAGCTATTTTGCATATAGCCAGGCAGTGGCAGTTTATTCCGCAAATGTCAGGTTCAGCCCAAAGAACTCCATGAGACAGTACAGGTATAGTTCG